TTATAGTCAACCCTAAAAAAATAAATATTTTTTTATTAATACGTAAATCTATACTTATATGAAGAGTCATCATATTTATTAAGATTAGTAGCAAAAAAAAAAAGGTCAGCATTTAATGCAACTCATAAATAGTAGTTTTATTATTTTTCTTATTTTTCTTTAAAAATCATACAATTTAATGTATAAATACACTTTAATATAATCATACAATTTTATTTTTTTTTTTTAAAAAAAATACGCTTATATATATATAAATTTAAATAAAATGTGTTACTTAAATATCTAAATAATATAAAAATTCAAATGTTTAAATTAATTGATAAACATTTTATAAATTTCTATTTTATTAACATATGTAATATTATTTAAAATAATTTTAAATGTACCGAAATTTTTTTAGAAAATCGTATCGATCCTACCAGTTCAACCGACTGGTGTTGACGGATTCAATAGCAAATTTTTTTTCAAGTGAACTAGACTGATTATAAACTGGTTCTCTGGCCATCCGGTCGGACTGTACGGTTTAATTTAGAAACAATAGGTAAATCTTGATATTTATTTGTATATTTATTTATCACACAATTGTAATATTACTTTTTCGTGCATCGCACGGGCCACGCACTAGTTCACACTCAAAAGATAATAGCAATAATGCTTGGATGGAATTTTTTTCTATAAAATCTCATTAAATATAAGATTTGAGAATATTTAGAGAAAGCACGTGAGTCACTAGTGAATTATATTGAATAATTTTCTCATGTCTCCTTAATCAATGGCGAATATAACATTTTTTTATTTTTTATTTTTTTATTTTTTCCCCCACTTGATTACCAATCAATTTATATTGGGAATTGAGATATGAAAGTAACAAACAAAGTTTTTGTAGCATTAAACAATGAACATAACCATGATAATTATGTCAATACCAGCAAACATATCACAGATACTGTTGATTTTTTTCAACTTATTTTGATTCACGGAGTGATTGAACATACAGTTAACAGTTAAAACATTTCCCAAATTTGATGCTTCATTGAAAAGTTGGTAAACATGATAGATGATATTAATTTATAATTTACATATGTATATATAATTTGAAATACAAGTATAAACATACATTAAATAAATAGAGCAACATGCCATAAATTATTCGTGAAAATGATAATGTCAATATAATATATTCAAACATAAAACAATTTCAACAGATACTACTTCACTTTGATAAATAATTAATAAAATAATTCCTAGAAGATTCAATTAGATATAAATTTAGTTAATTATATCAAGTTAAATATATAAATAATTTTTTAGATAAATATTGAACTTTATAAATTTTTTAATGGAATATTAATTTCAAGCATATACTGTTATCTTTACAAAGCAAGTGCTTATAGAATCGTTTATAAGATAAATCATTGGGACACAATTGAATATATAACTTATGATTCATCTAGTTATATATATTAAATTATTTTATTTACATTTCTCTGCTCACTCTGGTCGGATTTACGATAAAGCATACTTTTGAATTTTTTTTTTTTTTTATAATATTCTCTTACAGCGAAGGACATAAATTCAATAAAGTCATAGCACTAGGCTTTTAATGATTTAATCTAAAACTAACACAAACGTATTTGTTTACTAATAATGCTACTTGTACCCTTGGTGTACCACTTGATTTACATCCAAGCATACATGTACCAATTTTACCATTAATGAATAATTTACTAAATTATTCATTAAGGATAAATGAATATATGTACGGATGTACCCCTTCGATGTAAAACAAGTGGAACATCAAGAGGTACATGTAGCACGATCAATTTGTTTACCGCCAATCTTAAACTGCAACTCACAATTTAAAAGGTTCCCAAGTATTATTATTTAATTATATCATTAAGTCAAGTCAAAGAGAATACTAAAATTAGCTATATAAAAAGCCAAGTTGGAATTCAAGTCGATTGGCATCTTTTTTTTTTTGTTTTATTTTTTTTTTGTTTTTTAAAGATAATTATATTAGCAACGGAAAATACTTAAAAAGAATATAACAGAGGTGTCAACGGACGGTTTTGCTATGAACCCAACAGTTGGTTTCATAGTGGAGCCAACATTCTATATACAACAAATAAACTTACCATATTATCCGATTACTTAAGTACATTATTATAATTTTATTAATATAGTATGGTTTATTTGGTGTATATAGAAGGTTGACTCCACTTTGGAGCCAACTGTTAGTTTAATAGCAAAATCGTTCAACGGAAATCATTGGAGTCAAAACAAAGTTTAAACCAACATCGTTAAATGTACACAAGCGACAAAGGGGGGTTACAACTCCCACATAGAGAAACACACAGCTGCAAAACAGATCTCTATAAAAGGGACTCCAACTTTATATAGGAGACTAGGTGTTAGACGCCGCTGAATTTAAAAAAAAAAAAAAAAAACAATGCACAATTAAAAAAATCGATAAAATAAGAACTCCCTTAAACATCACCGACAAACGAATCGATCACCCTAACCACTAACCTAGCCAAACACCGCGACACAAAAATCGAACAAAGCAGCAAATCCAATTCCCAAACCCAATAACTACGGCTCAAATCAGTCCGCCTAGACATATATGACGATGAGTTAAAATCTCAAACTAGAGATGGGCTCTAAAGACTTTCGACACCGAGAGGGAGGGAGGGTAGTCGTCTCGAAAATCCAAAGGGCTCGAAAAGATACCATGGGCATTGTTGCAAACAATCTCGCAGAGGCTTCACCATAGGCGTTGGGCTTGAAGGCGCGAGTGCTATTGACTCTGGTATAAGGGAGGCCATTCGAGGCTAGAGGCAAGACATGGTGGACCAACGATCTCGCCCAGAGCCAAAGTGATAAGCGGAGCAGCGACTCAGCTTCGGCATGTCTCCGGCAAAACTCCAGGTAGGGCTGAAACAGAGCCTCTAGTCACGGCTTTGGCACGAACGGCTCGGGGGACGCAGTCAGACCGGCAGGATGAGAGGGGCATGACTGGACGACGACGGTGAAGTGTCTTATTTTATTTTTTTTTTCTTCTGGAAGAGGGGAGCATGAAACTTCTGAAAGAGGGTCACATTTTACACTATTTGACTCTTTATGGCCGATTGACAAACTCAATATAAGTAGTAAAACACACACACACACACACAAGAGAAAACTGAACCGCACTGGAAAAAAAAATTTAAAACATAAAATCCAAAATTTTTAAACCGAACGAAACCACAAGAGAAGAACAAACTGAACCAAAATTCTCGATTTGGTGCGCGGTTTTTCGGTTACCCGCAATTAAAAAGATACAAAAACAAAAATCAAAGTTCAAAAAAATACAAATTATACCTTAAGTCAAAACAAAAATCAAAGTTCACTAATTTATTTATTTTTATCTTCTTATGTTTA